ACATTTAAATTACGTAAAGGAGAAAGACGTTCTATACATTGAGCATGAATTTCATTTATTTCATCTACTTTATGCTGATCTTTTTGAATTTCTAATTTTTTTTCAAGTTTTTCAATTTCTATTTTGAGAGTATTAACTTGCTTCTTTATATTATCCTCTTGTATTCTTATTTCTCTGAAAATAAAAAATACAATAAAGTAATATTTAAATTTTTAATAAAAATATATTATTAAAAAATTATATAAATACTTTAATCGATCATGTATATTTGGAACTTCAATAAATTTCTGTAATTGTTCTTGAATAAAAGTTAATATATTTTTCTGTTGTTCAATTAAATATTTTTTATCCTGAAATGCTTCTTGCATTGTTTCACGTTCTTTAACTTTAGCACTTTGCTGTTGTTCTAACTCATTTAAACGTATTTGATATTCTTCTGGCGATTGTACAATTTCTGATTGTAATTCTGTTATTGTTTTACTTAACTATAATAAATATAATGATAATAATAATAATATATTATATAAATGATTTTAATTGTTTCTAAATGTTAATTTACCTTTAATGCTTGTGCTTTATAATTTCCACAAAGTTTTGCTGCATGTTGTTTTTTCTCTTCTGCTGCTGTCATTCTTGCTATTAATTCAATATATTTTTGATTATTTTTTTCAAGTTTAGATTGTAATTTTTGAATTTCTGCAATGTAACTAAAAAAAAAAAAGAATATAATATAATATTATAATTAAAAAGAATATGATATAGTTTAAAATATAAATATATATTCAATGTTATATTAATAATACTTTTTCTTTTGATGATAATTGTTTTGCTACATGCAATGCTCTATCTTTTCTAGTTTCTAATATTTCATTTTTCTTTTCTAACATATCATGTAAAATTTTTGCTCGGCTTTGAATTTCATTAACTTTATCTTCTATATCCGATTCTTTGTTAGTTGCATATAATATGAAATTTGCAAGGAACTTTGCTTGTTTACGTACTTTTTTTGATCCTAAATAATATAATTATTTTTTATTATATTATTTTTATTATATTTAATAACTAATTTATTATTTTATAATTTTTAAAAAAAATTACCTGGACTAGTTATATCTGTAATACATAGATCTTTTAAATATATTCGATCACATATTTGAACCATAACAATATGTAAATTTACAAGTCCAATTATAGTAGAATCTTCACAATATTGCATAATATCTTGTTGTTCCATTGTGGGCTTTAATAAATAATAAAAATTTTTTAATTTTTATTAAATAATAAGATATAATAAAAATATTACTATGTATATATAATATAACATAAATAATAAATATTTTCACCTTATCAAATGTATTAAAATCGATATGAAATCTTTTTAAGAAAGTATTAATTAGTTTGACAACAAATTCTTCTGTTGGATTTTTTAAATCTTTTATGCTTGATGGAAGATTAGCTTCAATTAAAATATTATGAATTTTTTCTAAATCTAAATCCATATTTTTTTATTTTTATTATATAATTTTTTGAATTTTATTACAAATTATATTTTATGTACATAAAGTAGTTTTACGTATGACGGTTTAGTTTTAAATATATTCAAATTTGTGACACATGCGCAAATGATATTTATAATGAATTTTCAGCCGAAAATTATAAATATTGATATTTATTTAATATTTTATGAATTAATATATGAAAAATTAGAATCAAATTAAAATTAATTAATTTTCTATAAAATTTCTTATAATGTATTCATTATATATTTTATTATAAATTTCATTCAATTTCTAAAAAAATATATAATTTTAAATAATTATATATTTAATAGATTTGATTAATAAATAAATTTATAATTATTTTTAAAATATTATTAACGATACATGAAAAAATTTTTATTCAGAAAAATTAAATTACATTAATAATTTTAATATCATTTTAATATTATCAATTATGTAATTAAATATTGTCTTATTTTTAAAATCATTAATAATAATTTATATAATTTTATAATAAGTTTATTGATTTATCTATGTAGTATAAGTGAATTTATAAGTTGATGATAAATAATATGTATTTTTTTCTAAAAATGTTACATACATTGGTAACACTGAATGAATCGTAAGCATATCAGAACTTTTACATATGATAGGCTACGTCACCAACGAATCTGTACAAAGTTTTGTGTTACATATTTTTCTATTTCGATTATTATTTTCAAAATAACAATCTTTTTGATGCTTTCTGTATTTTAAGAAGTTTCCTTGTCAAAAATGGGATCTTCTCATAGTATTGAAATACCAGGAGGTGGTACGGAAGGTTACCATGTATTGAGGGTAAAAAAAATTTGTCAAAATACTGTAATTTTCTTTATGAATTGTTTCAAACACTTTTTTATTGAATGAAATAAATTTTATTACAATTTTCAGTGGTTAATATTTTAATATATTATAAATTTACTATGATTTATTATAATTTAACAAAAATCAATGAATTTTACTGTATAATTTAAAATTTAAATCTAGAATTAAGAGTTATTTTTCAATAAATATAGCTATCTTTTTGTTAGATATTTAGTAAATTTGATTCGAACCTCATCACTGAAATAGGTACAAGAAGGTTCTCCTGGTCAGAAAGCTGGTTTAGAAGCATTCTTTGACTTTATTGTAGCTATTGGAAATACTCGCTTGGTACGATTTTTATCATTTTTATTTTTAATTTATATTATATATTTAATTATTAATTCTATAAAATTTATGTTAAATTAATAATTCTTTTTTATAGGATCAAGATAATGATACATTAAAGGAGCTTCTTAAAAATGGTGTAGATAAAAAATTAACACTTACAGTATACAGCAGTAAAACACAATCTGTAAGACAAACTGTTATAGTACCTAGTCTCACATGGGGTGGACAAGGTCTTCTTGGTGTTAGTGTAAGATTTTGTTCTTTTGAAGGTTCTAATGAAAATGTTTGGCATGTTCTTGTAAGTAGAATATAATTGAATTACAAAAAATTAAGAATTACATAAAAAAATTAGGGTTTCTTAAATTATTTCTTAGGAAGTATATCCATCTTCTCCTGCTGAATTAGCAGGTTTACGTCCTTTCACAGATTATATTATTGGTGCTGATTCAGTTTTACATGAGTCTGAGGATTTATTTACTCTAATAGAAGCACATGAATCTCGATTTTTAAAATTATATGTATATAATACAGAAGATGATTCTTGTAGAGAAGTTACAATTACACCCAATCATTCTTGGGGTGGAGAAGGAAGGTAGTAAATTCATTATTATTAGTATTTTAAAATATTTTTTTATTTATGCTTTATATTTTATATAAAATTTTTATGCTTTTACAGTTTGGGTTGTGGAATTGGATATGGATATTTACATAGAATACCTATTAGGAACATTCAAGAACACAAATCAAATAATTTATATATGGTGCATATTTAATATTATATGAAATTTATTAAAATATACATATAATAAATTTTATTTTTTTCTTTTATAGAGTAATGTTAAATCTACTATTTCAAATCAAGTCACATCAAATACTACTCATACAGAAGGAAGTAATGTAGTTACTAACATACCACCAGGTTTTTCTATACCACCGAACTATATTTCATCACAAGAAAACATTACAAAATCCGAACTTGAAACTTCTAATGTGATGCAAAGTACTTATGCACCAAATGTTCAAACATGTAATGTTTCTCAATTAAATCCTGCTACTATTGGGGGATCTACTACTACTAATTCTATATCTCATGTTATATCTAATCAAGGAATTATAAGTGCAACATATAGTAAGTATTTATAAATGATTGCAACATTCAAATAAGTAAACAATGATATTATTCTTATTTAGATAATGATTCCACATTAAATCAAAATAAAATGCCGAATATACCTGGTATGCCAACAACTCCACCTTTATCAACTTTTACTACTAATACGACAGTCTTAAATGAAACAACGGGCGTTGTTGGAACGTCGAAAAATTTTACAACTGTACAAAGTAATGTATCACCATCAATACAATTCAATGTGCCTCAGTCCCATGTTGTAACGACGCCCATATCGTTACCCGGAATGCCACCTATTACCGTCAGTGCAAGTTTACCACAAAATACGTCTTTCTATTCGTCTGTTCTTCAACAAAATGAATTAACTGACGTTAGTACTGTTCCCACATCTATACCATCAACAACGCAGTAACGATCATATTATTTCTAATGAAAATATCTGTTTTATAACAAAGTACATATTAAAGAATAAAGGTAAAAGAGCGCAATGTATCTATTACGAATATATTGTATTACTTGTATTTTATGCGTTTATACTTTACTACTTGTTTAAACGCAATGTAAACAAATTTTCAGATATGCGAGGATAAATTATGTAATTCTGTACATAGATAAAGATTATTAATTACTTAAATTAAAATCAAATTAAAACATTTTAAAAAAAAAAGAAGTATTAAATCTTTATGTCATTAATTTGTTTTTTCTTATATTTTTTCTTATTTAACTGTAACTATGAATTTTATTTTTTCAATCACTATAATTTAAAAATAACATATACATAACATTGTATATGTAATATTTGTGTTATATAATTTATCTTATTGTATAAGATTACAACTTTAAATTTGTTATCAAATAAATAAATAAAACATTTACATATTAAATTGAATGAATGAAATTTTCATATCTAGAAATTAAAAAGAAGAAATTATTAATTCTTAGATAATGATTTATTATATATATTTATAAATATATTTTTTTTTTCAAAAAATACATAGGTTATTATAATTTTAAAAATATCCATAAATAAGAATAAAAATCATTTTGGATTTTAGATAAAAATCATTTATTATATTGTACAGATAAATATTTTTTTTAAATATTATGGTATAAATATATATAGAATAATAAAGATTTTAACAACTAAAAATACTAATTTTTTCCATACTCAATATTTTGGAAATATTTAAATAATTATTTCAACATCAACTATTTCCTCTTCACTTGGAAGAGTAAATTTTGATGGATTTATTAAGTTTGGATCAATTAATGGCAAACCATTTTCTTCTCTATAGCGAAGTTGTAGATATGCTTCACGTTGAGCCCAATCTTTCAGAAGTGGATCTGGTGCATAAACAATTATAAGAATTCCAAATATCAAGACTAAAGAGATACAAGTAAAAAATGTTATGTGCATGCCTTGACGATCAGCTTCCTTATTTTCATTGTCAAATCCATAACTAGCCCATGCATTTTTTATTTCATATAAATCTTCTTTTTCAGTTTTTTGAGTTGGTAAATCACTACGATATATTCTATTATATATTTTAATCTCATTTGGTTTTAAAAACATCAATCTATTCTTAATTCTATGAGAACGAACAAGTCGTAATAATATTGACATTCTTCTTTAATAAATTATAATGATTTTTTGAGAAATTGTTTGTAGTTTCTTTTTAAATTTATAATTTTTCTCGTCTGAAAAATTTTTTTAATTTAATTAGTTGACAATATTGTACAAATTTTAAAAATCAAAATTAAATATATATAACTCACTTTGTAGGTTAAAAACTGTAAATATATAGATACAAAATTCGTTCGTAATTTAATGTAAACGTATGATAGAATGTTTAGATTCCGAAAAATGCCTTACTTTGAAAAAATTAATTATCAATTTGATGTTATGTATCTTTTACTTACTTTCTTGGATACGGAATACGTAACTTCATCGTGTATAGTACATGGATTCCAAATAGCTTTTTATATAAGTATATCAAAAAAATGATAATAGCTAAAGAAAAATAAATTATAAAATATACTTATAAAATTAAAAAGAATATTTATTTTCTTATGTATTTTTATAAAATACATATAAAATCTGTTATTTATAAAAATAATATTTATTTTATAGTTTTAAATCTAGTAACTTTGTATTAATGTTAAAAAAAAATATCTTATACTAGTGAAAAAAAATTTTAAATTATTTTTTTTATATAATTTCAAATTACACAACATATAAAAAATTTGTTAATATTAAGTAGAATAAGAATTTATTAAAAAACAAGAAAATATTTATTTTTATATTAATTTAATTTAATAAAATTTAATAATAATTATATATTTATATAATAGAATAAAATATTAATAATAATAATTAAAAATAATAATATTAATAATTTTTTGTATAACTTATTTTAATTAAAAGAGATTTATAATATTTATTTATTGTATATTTACTTATGATATTTATGATATTTATTAAGTTTATATGCTCTTATCATCAAATTTTTAAAAAATGTATATAGAATATACATGGATATAATATAATTAAATAATTAAAATTTTTAAATATTTTAAAACAATTAAAATTTAAAAAAAGTTATAAATTAATTTTATTTAATAATAATATAAAAGATAATGTAATAATTTAATCTTGAATCAACAAAATGAATTAAAAAAAAAAATATTTGCATTTTTTTTTCATTTCCATTTATTGTAACATTAAATAAAAATATTATAATCATAATTATATTAATAAAAAATTATTATTGAATAAAAATTTATTTTATGTTATAGTTCTTTATTTTCTACAATATTTTCTTTATCATATATTTCATTATTTTCTTTTTGAAGTATAGATTGATATATTTCTTGCCATAAAAGATCATTTATATCTTTTGTATTTTCTTCATTTATATAAGAAAAATGATGAATATAATTTTTATGTAACACATCTAATATTATTATTAAGAATATGATCATATGAATTAAACAATAAATTTTATGTTAAAAAGGATACATCCTGTAATAGTTTCTTTAAGTTTTTCATAATCCCATCGTATTCCTGTTAATACTTTATACAATAAAAATTTTCTTCTATAATTTAAAAAAATTATAAAATTTATATGATATAAGAAATATAATATAGAATATAATATAGATAAGAATACTAATAAGTTTACAAACCTCCCTTTATCTAATAATTCTTGATCTTGTAAATTTCGTTTACATGTTTTGAGTTTATTTCTTTGCAATTCTAATAGCTGATATTCTTTCAAAAATTTATCTTTTTCTTCTTTTATCTCTGTCTTCAAAAATATTAAATTTTAATTTTTTATTAAATTCAGTGAAAAAAAATTTTATATGTCAATATATAAAATATATAAAAATTACCACATGGTCTAAATGTTTAGATAAAAGATTATTTTTATATTCTAACGTTTGTTTTTTGGATTGAAGACTCTCTCGCATAGAGGTTATTTTTAATGTTAAATCTTTGATTTTTATTTCATCTTCTAAAAAAAAAATATCTTTTGTATTTTTATTTATATAATAACATACAAATACATACTAATAATGTAATAAATTACCATTGTAATCTTGATTTTGCTTATTCTTAACATGATTGATTAACTGAATCTGATTTTGCAATAAATCTTTTATTTGTGAATCCGTAATATTTATATACTTTTCTTTAAATATTATTATATCATTCATTATTATGTTTGCATTAATATTTTTAATAAAATATTCAATTAAATATTTATAAATATAAAATTCTATTATCAGTTATTTTTATTCACGAAATTTGAAATAGCACTATACATTGCTACCAATAATACTTTCATTTTATTAAAGAACATACTAGCATAGAGTAAACGTAGAACAGATTTATCATTCAATTTTTATGTTATATGATAGGAGGTATTTTTATGTTATATGATAAAATTTTCATTATCATTTTCATACACATATGATATTATTAATTTAGAATGGAATAAAATAACAATGGAAATGATAAAAATTCTAATGTGTTAGTACAATGCAATATTATTATATTATATTTCTATTTAAAATAGAGTTAAATAATAGCACTATAGAACGAGGAGTTGTAATTAAATTTTGCATTTTAGTTATATCACAGGTTAGATATAAAAGTAGACCAATTTTATTGAATTTTGACAATTTACCAAATTTGATTGACATACCAACTTAGAAGTTTGATTTTGATTTAAATCTTCTACTCATAAATAATAACTACACTATGAAATAATTATTAAAATAGAATAAGAGTCAAGTTAAGTAAAAGATATTTATTATTATATAGCAACAAACAGTTATTATTCAATACAGAATAATTTTTGTAATGCAAATAATATTGTGATACTTGTGATATTTGTGAAATATTATGATTCAATGTTAAATTAATAATTAGTATAAGCATTTTATCTATACTATAAATAATAAATAACTAAATATATACATATTAGTAAATGAGGATTATATAAAATTACATTAGATGGTATTTTAAATTGAATTTAAACGAATACAACAGCCTTATCAATATTGGATTATATTATTTAAATATTTATAATTTTTTGAAATTTAATTAAAGTTATTATAAAATTAAAATTGATATTTTTTAATTTTATTTGACAAAAACTAAAATATAAAAAGAATTAGAAAAAAAATTAAATAAAATATGATAGATAAAATATAAAATTAATGGTTTTCTAAAATAAATAAATTGGAATTTTATGTTATATTTGGAATTTTAATTTTTTTATTAATTTTGAAAAAAATTAAATATAATTTCTAAATTCATTGTTTTAAAATCATAAAGCAAAAGAACTTGAAATGTAAAGTTTTATGAAATAATAGTTCTATTTTATATCTCGCATATGATAATAGTAAGATTATTAGGGAATTTATTTAAATATTGGTATGCTCTGATAAAACAAAATTACAATTACGAAAATGAATATTTTATATTATATAAAAAAATTTTAATCCTGTAATAAATTAAAAACCATAAATATCATAAATATCATAATAAAAGTTTTTGTATTTTAAATTTATTAATTATTAAAGATTTTAAAAATAAAGATAAATTTTATATTTTATCAAATCATGTATTTATTAAAATAAAAGTTTTATTATAAAAAGAAGATAAAATAAAGAAGTATTTTGTAATTACATATATTTAAAATTTACTTCAATGCACTTCATTTATAACAATGTATGTAATTTGAGTATAAAATTAATATTTTATAAATAAGTAACTAATAATATTTATATTTTCTAAACATACAAACATAGAAATTTTTTATATTAAATTATGCTAAAATTTTTGTTCAACATATAAATCATATAATATAATTTTAAACAATAAGAAACAAATAAATTTTATTAATAAGTATTGCAAAATATTGAGGAATCTATAAATCAAAACTCAAATTAAAAGATTATCATGCAATATATTTAAAATAAAATGATTAATATAATAATATTTTTATGTAAGAAATTATTTATATAAAAAAGAACTTTTATTAATAATTTTATTAATAAAAAATATTAAAAACTTGTCATTTAATACTTAAAAATAGAGAAAAAATTTATAAACAATCATTACAAATATTAAATTAAATTCTAAAATTCTATTTATTTTTGAATTTTTTTAAAAATAAAAAATATCTAGAAAAACAAAAATTAAATGAAATAAGTAAGATATAAGAAATATATAAGGCCATAATGTTGATATATCTTATATTATTTTGAAAAATACAAACTTTTATTTCATATGAAAAGAAAAGTGAAATTATTTTAAAAATATTTCAAACATATATTTAAAAAAATAAAAAAATTATTTCATTTTAGCAGTCAATGTTATTAAGATTTATTGACTAGAGCAGACTTTTTAGCTGACTATCTTAAATATCAATTACTATTACTTTTTAAATGAATTATTATTCTAAAATATTATGGCCTGAATAATGGATATTTAATTGCATATTAAATATTTATCATTTTTGTAGTTTTTAATATTCATTAAAATTATCTTTTTGATTTAATTCTATATAAAAAAAATTTAATATTGCTTTATATAAGTGAGGCACTTGATTAACATACTATCTTATGATATGCATATTTTTGAAATCAAGAATCATTATTGAGTAAATTCACATTCATAGATATTTTTTGAGAAATCAAAATATTAGAAATTCGTATATGTTCTCTATTATTTTGAGTATTACTTGATTCAGATCTTGAATCATCATTATTAGTGTTGTTATTATTATTATCTTCTTGAGAATTAGATGAAGAAGCATTATCTGTTTGAATTAAAGTTGTGTTTAAGATATTATCCATTTGTGCTACTTCGTATCCAGATAAATTTCCATTTATAACTTCACGTGTTAGTTGCCTAAAATTATATAATAAATATTATAAATAATATAATATAAATAATAAAATAGTTATGCATATATAATTATGATTGAATAAACATATTTTTTTTTTAAATATTTACTTACTCTGAAGTCCAATTATTAGATTGATTAGACATATAATGCAATGGTTCTGTTGCATTATCGTTATTTTGATCGTTTTCATAATTAAAATTTGTATGATCCCTATATGGAGGTGCACAACAAGTAGCACGCACAAGATTATTCTTATCTTTTAAATTTTTATTATTATTAAAAGGCACCGGAGATGACTTTTTTTTGCAAGTGATGAAAGGACCTGTAAAATATTAATGTAATGATAATTTATATATGAAGAAATTATATTAAACATCATATTAATATTATCCAAGTAACATACATAATTCTATATATGTTATTACCGCGTTCTGAACAGTCCGCAAGTAAATTCAGCGTTCAAGTAGGTAGGTATACTGTAATGAAATAATTGTTCTTTTTCGTAAAACAAAATTAACCGTTTTTTTCACGGTTAGTAATTTTAAACACATAAGAAAATGTTAAAAAGTGCAAAATTAAGACACAAAAGCTGCAAACTACAGTGCTTATATATCTTAATTTACAATTTAGCATAAATTTATTGAGAGTTTGTTTTACTATAAATATCAGAAAAAAATATATTAAATAAAGTACTTTTTAAAAAAAATGAATAATAAGCAATAGATAAATCTACCTACTTATTAATAATAATCATAATTTGCGTCATTTAAATAAATTTTTTTTAGTGCTGCTCTTAAAAATAATAATATTTATAAGTATTACTTACTATTTTCTAAAGGTGGAGCAGTGGGTTCCATAACACGAAGTTCTCCGCTTTGTTTTATATTATTATTTTGTCGTTTTGATGTTCCTAGAATTGCATATTTGTAGTTATATATATATATATTTTATTTTACAAAAAAAAAAAAATATTATATCAAAAGGAATTAAAAATATTTAAATTTATTACTTACGTTTTTTATAGAATATAATAATAAGTAAAGTCAATACTCCAAAAATTGTCAATATTCCAAGTGTTGTATAAATAATTATATTGCTGTTCAATCTGTATGTTTCTATATAAAATAAAAAAGAAAAAAATTAGTGCACAAACAAAAATTATGATTTCAAAAATTTTTATCAAAAATTTTTTTTTATTTACCGGAAATACTTTGCTCTGCATTTATTTTTCTACATAACAACGCCATTTCTCCAGTACTTAATTTTTCCGCAGTGTAACTGAAATTTGGAATTAACAATAAAATTAAAATTATATATCATATATGAATATTTAATAAAAAAAAATTAGAAAAAGAAAGAAAAGTAATTAAAAAATTAATAAATTACCCAGGAAAACAAGGTCCACATCGAGAAGGGTGTCGTGATCTTCCTTTACTATTTTCTTCTCTATTATACCTACTGCATTGGGTAAAGTCAACACATCGCTCCGATACATGATAACAATACTGCTTATCGGGACAATCAGTATCATCATGACAAGATTTTTCCTCTATCGTAGCCTATAAAATAATTTACTTCTAATTACTTCATAACTTTTGAAATTTAAATGATTCAATAGATATTAGCTATAATTTATACATATTTGTTAGAGAATGATTGTTAAATAATAATCGAAATGAATATTATATTATAATAAGTTTTCTCTTTCTATATCAATAAACATAAAATTAAGCTGATTATAATTTTTTTAAGAATTATAATTTGTACAAAAATTAATTAATATATAAAAATTATAAAAATTAACTATTATTATAATTAAAATTTTGAATAAATTCTACGAATAATTTTGTGAAGATTTTTATTTATGTAAATTTATATGTATCATTAAAAAAATAAAAATTAAATACAGAGTAATTTAACAATTTAATAATAATTTTATAATCCAAATATTATAAATATTTTATTATAATATTGCAATATTTTTTAAACATAACATAATACTTAAACATTGTATATATTTTTCTATTATTCTATATATTTTTATGTATTTCCTATAAAAAATGGATATCTTATTTTATAATTTAATTATAATTATTTAAATAATTATTTTTTAACTATAACTATATAATATTATTCATTATTAATAAATAAAAATAGTTTATATATAAATTGAAAAATTTTGCAAAAATGTTTAAAATAATTAATTTAATATAATTAATCTGGAAAAATCTATGGTAACAATTAAAAAAATAATTTCATTTTTTTCGATTTTATTCGATATATTCGTAAAATAATGTGGAATGCAAGCACTTCCGGTTTTAAATCTAACTCATATTCTCAACGATTCCTTCTGACCTATATATCAGTAATAGTAAGAAGATACTCTAAAAAAATTATTTTTTTAAACTTATTTTTTTTATGTAACAATTAATATAAAAAATGAAAATTAAAAATTCATCAAAAAACAAATTTTATATAATTTATTATTAATATGTAATCTTCTTATAAAAAGAAAAAAGTAAACTGTATATATTCCAAACTTTTGTTTATACATAATAACTTTATCAAATCACATAAATGAAATATAAAATAAATATTAAGAAGTAATAAATCAAAAAGAAGCATAGTTTAATATTTTACTAATATTTTTAATAAATTAACTGTAAAATTAAAATATAGAAAAATGATTCTGCAATTTTTGATCTTCCAGAAAACCGCCATTTTGTTTGGGATAAGTGCTACCATTTGACAGTTTGATCTACAATTACGCAGAATGGATTTATCGATTATTTTGATAATATATATAAAATTATTATATATAATTATTATATTATATTATTATTATATTATTATTATATAAATAGGTATTATTTATATTAATCTTTTTTAAAATATACAAAAATAATTAAAATTACTTAACAATGATGATTTTTTATTTTTTATAAATACATTCATTTTTAATTATCAGAATATTTTCTTCATTATTGTCGAAAATTAATTATTTTAGAATATAGTAATGAAATTTTCTTATTCCTTTTTCCTCTTATTAGAATTGGATATATATTGCATAAACATTATAAAAAATGCTAATTGTATATATTATATTATATAATTATATTATATTATTAAAAAATATTAAATACAATAATAAATATAATATTAAAAGATAAGATTAGTTTTTCCATTTACAAAATAATCGATAAGAAATTTTTTCTGATAAAATTATCGTAATTTTTGTAAAATTATAATATCATGTTTTTAATTAGTAATTAAATTATGTATTATATTATATACTAAATTTTTAGCATTATATATTCGTATAAAATATATATTAATTGACATGTTTTTTTATAAGAATATCACATATTATAAACAATTAAAATTTATTTAAAAAATTTTTATTATTAAATTGATAAATTTTAAAATATTTCAATAAAATTTATTAATCAAAATTTTAAATTATTATATTTATAGGTGCAAGTATAAATTTATATACTTTATAAAATAAATTATAAAAAATATAAATTTTTTCATATAATGCTAATGATATAATTCAATAAATTATAATATTCTTATTCTTTTATTTCTGTTATATTTATATTTATATCTAATATGAATACATAAATTTAAAACTATATGTTTTATATGTGTATATATTGTATCCATATATACATATATATGCATATAATATATATATATATATATATATATATATATATATATA